GTCGGTTCACACCCCATCACAAGCCAGCAAAACACCCACGAAACAAAGAAAGGTCTGTCACAGCCAAAAAATACACTCCAGACACGCCGCTGGCACTAGAGGCACAGCATGGCCGCGTAGTGACGGCCGTATATATATTATATACATCGTCAAACAGAGCTGCCCGGTAAACCGTAGGCAGAGAGGGAGGGAGAAGAGGACAACAAACGAGGGGCTGTGACAAACTGTTTCGTCGGAGTTTCACCGACTCATCAGGAGGCTCGTTAAACAGAACTGCCCGGTAAACCATATGCAGAGAGGGAGAAGAGGACCACAAACGGGGGGTTGTGACAAAGTGTTCCGTTGGAGTTATATATCTGTGTGACGGTACATATATGAATATGTGTTGCAAAACAGAACTGCCCAGTAAACGGTAGGCAGAGAGGGAGAAGAGGACCACAAACAAGGGGCCGTAACAGACTGTATACAGCCTCCTGATGAGTAGGTGAAACTCCGACGGAACAGTCTGTCACAGCCCCTCGTTTGTTGCCCTCTTCTCCCTCTGTGCATACGTCTTACCGGGCAGCTCTGTTTGACAATATATAGTCATATATTAAAGACTCAAGTTGACGTAATAGCAAGAGGTTAGGTAATCCCTCTGGACATCCGCTAAAATTGGAACGACATAGAGGAAGAAGATAAGCATGGCCCCTGTGCAAGGAAAACACGCATAATTGAGAAGAAAGGGTCCGGAAAAAGAAAAAAAAAAAGAGCAAGAGGTTAGGGATTGGAAAAAAACAATTACAAGCTTCTTTTTCTTTTTTTCCCTCGCAAAGTCATACATGCTCAATCAAACCTGGATTATCTCTGTATTAGAAGTCTCAGTTAAGCCCAGAAACTTCGCAATCTCTGCCAAGCCTGCACATCCCAGCAACCAGACACTTATGGGGTTATGAAAATAAATAAATAGATAAATGAAGTACAAAACCAGAATAAATTAATAGTTCAACGGAGTTCAAAAAAAAAAAAAAAAAAAAAAAAAAAAAAAAAAACTACACAGCGTACAAAGTTACCACAAACAAGCTCCAAAAAAAGACACAAATTAATGTTCCTGTGGGCAGACTCCAGTGCGAGACTACGCAAACTGATACGGATGAATTGTCTCGATAGTTAAGGTCCGAGGCATCCACTGAGGACCTCCAGCGACAGACTCGTTTACTGAGGTCCGCTGCGAACCCCGCCGAGGCCATGATTCAGGCCAGATGCATCAACTAGTTCGGCCTTGTAACTGAAAATGTGTTTACTCTACCATTCATTGCAGGCTTCTGCACCACAACCCTCTTCCCCCGAACCTAACACTTCAGAACTGCGCAGACATCCCAGGCAGTGTCCGGAGTTCCCGTACAACGAGAAAAGGACATGTGTATGCCAGTGGGATGTGCGCGAAGCTGTAGCGCAGATCCGATGTCCATATCACTCCCTTCTGAGGGCCATTTCATAGCGCGTGAGAGAGCGACACAGGTCCTTTGTGTAGGGGAACACGTAGGGAAGACGAGGGGTGAACGGAGTGCAAGCATGCTTACCTGGTGGTGGTGTCGGGACAGAGCAGCCATAGCCGGAGACTTTTTTCGTCATCAGGTTGATCATCTTCATGAAGACCTGTTGTTGTCACTAGGGAGTCCTAGGTCGTAGGTGCTGTCTGTCTGTAGTCCGGGGGCCGAGCGCTATATAGGAGGGCAACATTGTGGAGACTTTGTTGTTGGAGGCGAGGAGAGGGCTTTCCCTGCCAACTACTAACTGGCTTCATTGCTTCCCTCTTATATTTGGTGTATCTCGTGTTTGCATTCTGCTTTCGGTACGAGCACATAAGTACGTGGATTTTACTCAATGGGAATGATCCAATTTGGTTTCTGCCATTTTGCTTATAGATTATTTTATTCAATGGGATGACCCAATTTTGGTTTCTGCCCTCAGATGAAGCTGTCGCCTTCGACTTCTGAATACTAGAATCTGTAATCTCCACTAGCAGCCTTACACCATGATGTTTAAAAAAAAAAATTAAAAAAGTGTAATGTGCATTTATAAGCGAAGTGTCAAGACTCAAGAATATTGCGTGCATCTACTTGTTTCCTTTTTCTCAACCAATGCATCAGAATTTGTAATCTTCACTTGTCTGCTTGTACTCCTTCCTTCTCATTCTCTTTTCTTCTTTCTTTTTTTCTTTTTTCTTTTCTCTTTTTTCTTTTTTCTTTTTTCTTTTTTCTTTTTTTTTCCAATTGTGGCCCAATGGACCATGGAATGGATCAGATATGGAACTGATCAGAACAGATACATTGCACTTGATCTATTTTTGGGCAAAAGGCCGAGATATGCATTTTGTTTCTCGTTCTACATTGCACTTGATCTATTTTTGGGCAAAAGGCCGAGATATGCATTTTGTTTCTCGTTCTCAGGTCATCCAATGCTAACACTAGGACTCTTTTCCACAAAGCTCTGGACGTGATTGCAGTCAGATTCATCCAGTTCTGGATCTGTACTTGCAGTCAGATGCATTCTTGAAAGTTTTAGTGTGACTATGCCCTCATTCTCTTTCTCTTTCTCTTTCTCATTCTCATTCTCATTCTCATTAGGAAGGGCAAGCTTCCCTTTCGCAGAGAAGCACAAGCACATGTTGTTGAAACGATTTCCCGATCCAAACAAGAATTGAAAGGGGGGGAAAAAATGTCAGTTTGATAAAAAGATGTACTTTTGTGAGGCCACGCACTTACGCATTGTTTGAACAGACTCGTCTTCATCTAGCATCCCATCAGAGGAGACAGGGCTATGTCTCGCAAAAGGCGATTTCTCCCCCAGCAATCTGCAAACCATGTGCGAAAATAGTCAGAAGCAATAAATACGCAAGCAACAGCAAAAGAAAACGAAAAAAAAAAGTAATAATAATAAATTCAAGCAACAAAGTTTCGGAAAAAAAAAAAAAAAAAAAAGAGAAGAGGGTTGGGGTG